AATAATGTATATATGTATATGCAAGTAGAATAATACACTTAGGACCTAGTATGACACAGTTAGAATACAGCTAACACTTTATACAACGCGGCCACCGCGCTCCGTTCATGGAATATTTCGTTTGTCACATCATAACTCGTAAACTCGACTAATCTAATCTAAGACAGTCTAATTAATTCCGCACAACGGAAAAACTCAACCCCCTCGCCGCGACTTAAACAAAAATACTTTACACGGCGGCGAGGGGTTTACAACTAAACGTAAAAAATAATATACTAACATTACATGGAACCTTTCGGTGCGGGCGACGAATTAGATTAGGATCCGTATTGAGAGAGCGATAGAGGCGAGTTTAGAAAAACACCGAGTCCATAGATATAATGAATACATTCAAAGGCACAGAAAGAAGTTTGACTGTGAGTTAGTATTATATGAGAGTACGTGATGGCACGGCGACTAGTGACCTCAAGTTACACAACACGCGCGGCTACATAATGTTGAGATCAATGTATTGACATCAGCTCGGGACTTAAGATGATATATATATTAAACGTATTATACAAGTTCACAGAAGGGTCGGTTGTGAGGCGCACCGGACATCCGGTGTAAATGCATTAGGCCTATAATATGTTAGTAGTTGTATTGACTCGGTCGGATGTCGGTGGACCTCACAGCCGCCCGATAGAGCTCTATATGTCTGTCTGTCTGTTACCGGTACCTTGAATATCACAACCACGACCTGATTCCGGACCCGCCAACTAGATGGCGCTAAAAGTTCCTCACTACATCGATAGATGTCACTACGGTCATTATTTTCCGCAAACACTGTATATTGTTTTTACACCAACCGTACACTGGTTATATTATAACACGATTACGACTCCGTCCCTTGTATGACGAGTTTTTGTTTCCAGTCTAAATGACAAAAATCCGAACGATACGTGTCGAGTGACGTCATCGCATTGTCCATAGAGAGTCGAGATCGTTTTAGAATACAACGAGGTTCGAAATTCAAATGTTATAAAGTGTCGCCGTTTTGTTTCAGTACCGTCCGTGCTAGCGCGGGCGACGGACGTGCGCCGTCACTATGATACAGAGATGACCTCGTGGCCGGGCCTCGGCTGGGCGGCTCGGGGCCACGACTGGGAGGTGAGCTGACCCACTGATAGGGGGTTGTTGGCGTCGCGGGGGTTGGTGCCCACGGGGTTGCGGGCCGGCGGGGGGTCTGAGGCGGGGGACGCGAGGGAGGAGAGCGCGCTCAGACCTCCCGGGCTGGAGGCCGAGGTGAGAGGAGTATCTGCCTCGTCACTGGACGCGTCAGACAACTCCTCAAGCTTGACGTCCTCATCGCTGCACGGGGACTGAGGGGTCGCTAGTGGTAGGCTGACCGACCCCGAGGCAGCCGCTAGGGCTTCCATGTAACGCACGCACTTTTTCTTCCGCCTGAAATATAATAAACACGTATTAATATTATAATAGCACAGCAGAGAAACTATCTATTGAAAATAGAGTATATAAAATACATTCGATATAAAAATCTATTATTATTGAATCTAAATTGATCTCGTCGGAAATAAAAACCAAGATGAAAAAAGCCAAATTCTAACAGAACAAACAAAAAATCTGTCCGACATGCTTGTGAATGTTAGAAAACAGCAAAATAACACACGAAATATACATGCTGACGACCTACGGTTAAAAAAAAAAGAAAAAAAACATTAATGTATAAACAATTAAACATCACATTCATAAAACTATATTACATTTATATAAACACAAAACATTACCTAAGTTATATAAAACAGAAAAAATATAACTTAAAATAAAATGCTATCACAAACAATATACTATAATTCAATGGATACAATTCAAAATTAAACAACAACAAAAAACAACTAATATTAAACTTTATTACATGTACATAGAGTACATTTTACATCACGTAACCATGCCTGAAGCTCACAACATTTATGACATACGAAGATCATATCCAAGAACACATAGCATGATCACCAGAAAATTACACGGACACCGATCAGGGAAACTTAATTTATTATAAAGAAACGTTCTATGAGAGGATTTATTATATGTTTAAATGAAACTAATATTTTTCGAATATACTACGAGTACTTTTTTTTTTGGGAAAAAAAATCTACATATTCCGGACGTTTCGGCTACTTTTTAGCAACCGTAATCATTAAGACGAGATGTGAATGTGTCTGTTCTATATGAGTATGTGATATTAACATCTTGTTTTCGTAATCATGTTTGCTGAAAAGTAACCGAAACTTTGGTATTATAAAGTATATTTGAAAAATATTAGTTTCATTTACTCGCGATAGTCCTAGATCTCATTTGATCGATATGACCTTCGTATTAAACTGACCGTGTTTATCCCAGCGGCGAGTGGCTGACACTAGAGGTTAACGTATGTAGGTTCTTGGGGGGGGCTCCCGACCAGGCTAGCTGCTGGGAGGGGGGTTGCAGGCTCTGGTCGGAGGAGCCCCAACCCTCCAGATACCATCACGCTACCAGACTCAGGGCTGACCCCGTCATACACAAACAGACGTCAGGGGTCAAGTTAGGTCAGGTAGCGTGTGACATACGTCGTAATTATAATAATATCACCAATAGTGCCAGCGGTATCCAGCGATCGATCCGTGAGAAGCGGCAATCATGAGTGGAAAAAACATTTCAATGAGTAAATAATATCCTCTTCGTATAATATAATTATATTTCATTATACTTTATAAGATAAGCGAGCAATTCAGAAAATGTGTCCAGATTTTTTTGAAAGCTTTTTTTTCTATTTTTTTTCGACAAATGATTGCCTCTCTCATTTCTGATCTGTAACAGCCCATTTTTCCCTCTAATCCTATATTCTACGACTTCACACTTTGTCTACTTTCAAAAAAATCTATTCCGTGTGTCACATCTACGTTAAATTTATTTCTTTGTGAAAAGACACATTTTCTGAACATTCGTCTCTGCTTCGCTTAAACATTATGCCCTCACACTAATACTATGAAGAGCACAGCGTAACAGCGTATTGTATAGATAAGTTCAAATAATAATAAAACAAAAGCTACTACAGTACTTGATAATTAAAATAAATAAACTATATGTTACGACCAGGCTCTCCTTGGACTCGCCGTAAACGGAAGATAGGCCAAGTCTTTCCACATAGAAACAATAACTTGAAAATAAGGACGGGAGTTTTTGAGCGCCCGTAAATAATTACGATGAGCAAAAATAAAGGAACTTTGTATTGTATGAACCCACCTGCAAGGCTTACACCACTGGTTCTGTTGGTCGAGACCGTACCTCGCACGGCATTTCTTCAAATTATTCCCTGGAAAGTTTTTATTATATAGATTAGAACACGAAATATTTCTATTAATATATAAATGATTTGTTTATTATACAAAAAATAACTATTTGCTTTTCAATAATATAGTGTTTTAAGGTTGCAAATTAAAGTATTTTAATGCAAATCAATCGGCAATGTTTGCGGTTCATCAAATTGGGATGGCGTCCATTAATTTTGGAAGCTAATGAATAAAGGGACGGACGCCACCTTCAGACAAATAAACTGAACAAATAATACTCTGGAAGCCTTAAAATAATATCTAACTACATAACACATGCACCGACACCATGGTTGTGTTAGTATGTCATGCGGGAGAGGGACGGGGATAATGATGACAACGGAAAAAACATTGGTTTATATAGCACTACACGATAACATCGGAAATAATAAACCTCTAACTACGCTACGCTATGTCAAATAATAATAATAAAAGAACACAAATAAACATGACGCTCATAAGCAAATTCAAGCAGAATAGGTTCTCCGGAATCAAAATAAATGTTGAGCATTTGGCCAGTATCATTATAACAGAAGCAACGGCTTATGGTGCTGTTTGGATGTATGTCTGTATGTATGTTCTATTGATCCTTCGTCTCCTGAGCGTCCACACGTCACGCGAGTACAAGGACGTCTTCATGCATACTGGTCTCTCAACTCGATTATATATCAAGAAGGCTGTCCCAGCCTTTACACAGAGCACATGTATATACAGTCCCTGCAAGCAATTACTCAGCTATTCAAATATTGACTGTTGAATAAAACATGCACGCTCCCCGGACGCAGGCGGCACGACGGAAAGCCAAAAACCGGGACAACCTTCGAAGGAGTGCCACTTACAGGGTGTTCTCTCGTTATATAGCGTATCAATTAACAAAAAAAGAAAAGGAAAAATAAATAAATGCGATAAATATTAAATAAAAAAAAGAATGCTGGATATTGTCTACAACCTGTAACCCCTTCAACCATAGACATTCGGCATAGTGACTACACCGCTCGGTTAAATCGGATAGAGTTCAAAGCAATTGAACTTGTATATACGGGAGGGGGCGGGCTGCGGGTGGGAGGAGGAGGAGGGGGAGCAACCGACGTCTCTCAGCTAATCCTGTATTAATTGACCTCATTTTTTAATGAGCTGAAGCGGCGATCGAGTCTAAGTGCTCCGAGACGTCCGTCGCTGGCCGGGATCGTGACCGATTACTAAACTGTCTTTATCATCATATAATAGAATGCGGTCAGGCGGGTGGTGGTTGAGGAGTGGTGGCAGGTAAGGGTGGAGGGTGTTCGAGTCGTCAGCGGTCGTGTAAGGCAGTACCTCCATCGGTTGTCTCCTGTTTTCGTTTCCTCTTCTTGCCCCTTTGCGTATTAGCCCTAGACGACCAATCGGGATAGAGCTGCATGTGCAGCTGACGCTCACGTCGCGCCAACTCGTAATACTTGGCTTGCTCCTCGCGTCCGAGCGCATGCCACTGTGTACCGAACACGCCGCAATATGGAAACAAAAGAGAAATGCACTTCGACGGTGGTTCGCGACCGCGCCCTAAAGCTCTGGTGCTAGAAAAACAGCCCGCAGTGAGCGTACCCCGGGACAATTTTGATCCTACACCCCAACAAAAAAAATGAGAATGGCCAATTGGGAGTTCCTCACAGAACCTATTCTGCGGTCGGTATCGTCGCGCCTCGTCTAGACACTGATCAAACCAATATAGTTTCCGATCGGGGGCAGGGTGAGTACACGGTCACTCGACGACTACAGTACACAGAACACGCAGGAGGCGAGCGGCGCGGGGCACGCGGCGGAGCCCTAGCGCCCGGCGCCGCCCGCCTCGCGGGGAACGGTTCCAGCCGCTTTTCTAGCACAGGCACCACCGGCCGCCGCGCTAACACAGTGGAGTAACACGCACACACGCACACTCACATACACGGTGCACGGGGCACGTCACAGGGATCAAGCCGGTTAGTTCGTGTTAGGAGCCCCGGACGGCAAGCGAGTCCCTGGGGGTTAGAGGGGGCGGACGGGTCGGTAGGGAGGGGGGGTGAAGCGAGTGTACAGAAGCGTCGTCGTGTGAGTCCATCCCTCTCGCGGGTCTCGGCCCAGGGTCCAATACCTCCCAGGTCGGCTGGGCCGCGGTCCTTTTTCCTCTTTTTCTTTTTGGACCCGTATCCGTAGTTGTCCCTGGCGCTCCAGCCCGGGTACAGCTGCATATGGAGCTGTCTCTCCTGTCTCGCTTTCTCATAGTACTTTGCCTGCTCCTCGCGACTCAAGGAATGCCACTGTGTATTTATGAGTATCGTTACCAGTTGCCATGGCTCGCCCTCACCGAGCACCATGTCCTAGTACTGGACGCTTGTTAGGAAACTGATTACATCCGCGTAACGCTCCACTTCTCGGTATTAAGTTTATTATTCAATACATTGTACAGATTACTGATAGGAGTTTCCAGAAAACGCGATCGTTGACGCGTCTTGAATCGTTTTCCTAACAAGATCGACAACAAAGCACAAATATGACAGGAGGCTAGAAACGGTCGAACGTATCAACAACAGTCACATGAAATAATATATTGAAAATAATAATAATAAAAAAAATATAACAACATTAATATCAGTTCATTAGCTCTTGAAAATTTCAAATAGTATTTCGTTTAAAATATTACCACAAACAATAATTTAAAATTATATATTCTGATATCCAAATCGGTTCCAAATCTGGTTACCTGGTGGATAGAATCTCTTTAATCGTTTTAGCAATAAAAATTCTATTAATATCGTATAGTATATACGTAAGTCCTGTTGTATCAGCTAGTACCTATAAGTTCATTAGAGTTATAGTCAGTTAAACCAAAAGAATACAAATTGTGGGGGGTATATGTATGTACTACTCACCCGTCTTCCTAGTATCTGGTTGATGGCCGCTGACTCCTTGAGGGTGCATTCTGCTACCACCTTCGCCCTCATCTCCTTCATATACAACATGAAGGCATTCAACGGCTTCTTGATATGAGGCTTCTTGTTTTGTTCCTTGCTATTGGAACTATCGGATTGTTTATCAGACACGCTACTACTACTCGTGCCTTTGTCCTGCGACCTGGAATATATACTACTACATTACTACTAGAATTATAAGTGGTAAGTAGTTTTTTTATTGGTATCTTTGTATGAACTATTAATAGTGTTATGAGTCAAATCATTGGATATAAGCGACCTGGAATATATGCTACCAGATTACTACTCGTAATACAAGAACTACAAATGATAAGTTCTTTTCTTATTGGTATCTTTGTGTGAATAAGATCATTGGACATAGTTTTAAAATATCTAATGTTAATTCAAGTTTAGGTGTTAACGACACATACATACAATAAACAAGCACGCGTCCGGTTGAAAATAGACAGGGTTTCCGGTGACCGTACAGACATGTGGTTACTATTATAGATTTATCAATTTAAATATACTCATATAAACGGATGTCGCTTAAAAAAATCGCATTACTATAATAATTTGCATTATTCATAACATTGTAATCACACCTTTAATATTATTAGTAATAAATTAGATTTATATATAATGTCTGTTTTATTCATGTTTAATATATATTTTTAACAACCAATTAAATTAAAGTCAGTCAGATGTCTGCCTAAAATACGTCCACCCAATAAATTTATTCCGATGTCTATGACCAAGTATTGAATAATGACTTCCTCAAGATTTCTCAGAAAATAGATAAAATATGCTGTATTCGTATTCCAGACTTTTTTTGGTTCTTTTATACAGCGTGTTCAATGAATGGCTTCCTTTATAACAGATCTGTTTGGAAATACATGTTTTTTAAGCTCTTAATTGATCATTATAGAATTAGTTAAAGACTGGATTAGAGTTTTCATTTGATGGTATAAATAACTTTAAAAATATTCATATTTTTCGTATACAACTTCGTTATTGACATTATTTTGTAGTATCGATAAACTTATGTTGGTGGAATTGGATTTTAACGAATTTTAGTCATAGGAATCGAGCATTTTAGATTAAATGAACTGAAAACTATAAGTATGATAGTTTCCGTTAACACTGAACTCATACTAAAGTCGCTAAGTCTATAGTCAGCAAGTGTAATATTTCCATATATCATATTTCGCTGTCACTATCAACACAACCCGACACCACGTGTAAGCGAATGTCAAAATTAATCAAAACTTTTGTTGCCGAGTATACATTAAAATAAATATAAATTAAACACTGTACACTATATATAGAAAATGTTTAAAATATTACAAAAGTGGCTGTATCAAAAGAATGAAGAGAAAAAAAAAAATCAACTACGTTTCAACGTAAAAAAAGTGAAATACGAACGTGAAAACTACGTATTAAGACAAACAGCTATTTAACGTGAGCGCTAAGTAGCTCAGAGCTCGCTTAACATCCATTCAGGTAACTAAAGGAGGGAAAGAAATACACTACAATGCGCACACGCTACATACAAGCTATTCAACGAACATCGCGGTACACGCGCGAACATTCAACATTCATAAATGAATTTGAAATAAAACTATATATATATACATTTTTATTCAGAGTTAAATTCATTTAAATGGATATTCTGATTTTAAATGTTTACAAAAAAAACCATTAAAGTTATACGTATTTATATATATAATGTAATCGTAAAGTTTAAATTTTATTAAAGAAACTAATTTAATTAAGAGTATATCCATTATTAATAGCCAATGTATTTTGTAATCGACTGTACACAGTCAGGTAAGAGCTTCTCATATATCATCTTCATTAAATTTCACCTCAAGCAGTTCATTTAAAATATACCTGATTTTAAATGGGTTTCAACTTGTACCAAGGTATTAAAATGCACCTTCGTATATATCATACATTAAATGTGCCACAATATCATATTAAATAATATTTCGGAGGACATCGAGTGTGTGTAATAATAATAATTTGGGTCGTAAGTAATAACGTTTAATGAAAGCCATCAGTGAGGCCATACCCCGCCATTACCCGCTGTCACTGGCACCACACGCTCGTTACGAGCGAGCGTGTCGTGTTAGCGACGCGTCGAAAGGTGTTATATTACAAATGCAGTCCAACGAACGTATACTTTAGTTACGGGTTCGATTCCTTTTATTAATTCTGAATGTTAAATATGTTTATATTCACACTTTTGTAATGAATACTCAGAAATGTAAGACTGGTTTCTTTAATGTTATAAGTAATTTTATTTTATAAATTCGATTTCATGGATATAATTTATGGTTTTTGGGGATTTTTTTTTACATTATAATATATAAATATATCAAGCTGAGTATAATGTTTATTATTGACCTAGTTCCATAGTATTCGTTCACCCCAGCACATCTGTCGTATATCTGATGAAGGGGTGGCCCCACTGATAGCGATAACATCTCCATCATGTTACTAACACGCTAATTATGATACGTAAGTGATTTTTTTAAACGGTTTTCTAGTTTATATTTTTTTTACAAATCCGATTCGATATTATTATTAATATATTTTTAATAGTAATATTTTTTCTGACGTTTCTTTGTGTAGTGATTTTAAAGCAACGTTATCATTAGCTAGTAAAGCTGTTCATATCATATAAGGGGTGTGCAGTTTTTTATCGCTGTAATAATACGTTTAATGCTATATTAATATTTATCGTTGGATCACTGATTGACACGTGACCGGTATCATGTAATTTGTACCTTTGTAATGCACTTTGGGTACAACGATACATGTTTCAATAATTATTTTTATGTATAAACCTTTTTCATAACCGGCTTTGTAATGTATGGTGACATCTTGATAATTGTAGTTTAGATATTTAATAAAATATTATAAATTTTGTTTTTAATATAAGTTTTTGAGACCATTAATTTATTCTACATCTTCGTTTTAAAATATCCCAAGAATTCACACGGTTATAAAGCTATAGTTTTTCATAGTTATGGTAAAAAGAATCATATATCACATACGATAGTAACCACATAGTTTATTTAAATGGAATACAGGAAACTATACGTTTACAGTCTGACAAATTCGTACTAAGGATATATAGTTATAAGTATATAAATATCGTAAATTAAAACATCTGAATATGAAACTTACCTTGAATGGTGAGTGAAGAGATCACTCTTAGAAGGTGGTGGTGGTACCAGCGCGGGACTCAAACCCAGACCCAAGCTCCCACCGAGCGTGGGTGAAAACCGATACAGCTCGCTGCAATATATATTACTATGAGTACTTCGACGACTGTCCTATAGTACTGGCGTTGGGTACCACCCGCCATCACATGCAATGACATGGCGGGTTACGTACGATTATTTTTTAGAAGAATTAATTTAGAACAAAAATTTGTTAGGTATTATGTAATATATTTCATCATTATAATATACAACTCAAAGTATTAAAACGGGTTGAGTTTTAGTTGGTTAAAAAAATTCAAGAATAATTCATAATAAATTTAATTGTTCATTATATAGAATAACTGTATATTAAATTAAATTATAATGTAGTTTTTGAAGTCTTGTAATTCCTTCATATTTTATTACATTTCAAAGTATTTACGAATTGGATTATTTATTTAGTGTTCATGAAGAATCTTAATGATTTACATATGATGATTTTTTCTCGAATTTATATTTACATATATCTTCAAATCGCAATAAGAGTTTTCTTTATTTAATAGGTGTACTTTGAAATGATTGTGCATTGAAACGATTTTAAGACAGTTTTAATGAAAAAATAGAAGTTTAATTGTATAATATAGTAGTATAGTAATGATATTTTGTTTCCATCATATCATTATCATATCATGAACATACCTTGACAGACTAGATGTGCTGATCGGCAGCGTGGTGGGGTAAGGACTACGGAACCCACTGG